ACATCCTCAAGCGCGGATCGTCGATGTCTTCTATGCCATCAACTCTGCCCTCTAACACAAGTTTTTACTTTGTGTTACACGGCGGTCACAGCCACGAATTCACATCACCCTACCTACTTGTTCTTGTCACCATCAACCACAGGTGCCGTGTCTTATGGCAAGATAGCCGTTCGATTAGCATCGCCAATTATAATTCCTTTTGGATGCGCACTCGTTACATACGCATTCCCGTTTCGATGTCTTACGCAGCATCTAAGGTACCTGCAGTTGTGCTCCTAGTTCTCGAACCCTGTGTACCGTAGGGAATGGCAAACTCAGTTGTTACTGTCGAATTGATCGAAAGCAGATTTAATTCACGTGCAGCACAACCGCTTTTCTATCTGAATGCGCCCAAATAGCGCTATCATCATGAGAATGAACCTTAAGGTGATGCGATGGTTTGTGTGCCTCAACAATCCATTGAGCTTTATTGGGTGGCGCATTTTGCGCTCTCAATGCTATTCGCTCATACAAAATTAGTTAACTGTTAGTGGTCAGGCAAGTGCAGTCTCCTGTTTCTCCAGGCTCAAGCTTGGAATGCGGTTGGATCCTTCCTTCACTGCCAGACATCCGCTGACTTATGCCAGGTTTTGAATCAAAGGCTTTTGTTGCACATCCTAATCCTTCTCCTGTCCTTTAGCGAGCAGTCGGACACTATCTTGTTCAAGCGATATAAGGATGGACTAATTAAAAATTCATCGCAGAAACTACCAAATCAAGCTGTCCTCCGCATGCCCGGAAAACCACTAGACGGCCGTTTCGCCCTGCTGGACATCATCAGTAGTGCGCATCCATCGACTTCATCAGTATCCTAACCCATGACCATCATGGGCCAACTCCGCTCTCTGCAGCAATCGGGACTTGCATGGCAGTAGTGGATAAAGCACGCTATATCGCAGTTGGTTTGTAAATCACGGCGGCCCACTGCTGTCCCTCGTGGCTCAGTAGAATAAGTTGCTGGCTAGCAGTTTAAGTCGCTGGTGTTCGTGGTTCGGGATCCTGATGGAGACCCAAAAGTGTGGGTACGGCCATCTAGGGCTCTACCAGGCTTGCGGAAGATTATCTGATTTGTGTGACACTATGTTGAACTCTCGATTAATTATATCAGAAGCCTTACTCATGAACACAATAATAATAATAATAATAAGCCCTTCAAACAATTTCACTCTGCTCTGGCCGTCACAGAGGATAATTCGTCAAGTTGGTATAACCTTTATATACCCGAGGGGTACATTTTCTGCATTTTACAATATGCACTGCGGGTGTTTTAAAGCAACATCATTAAGAATGTAAGATTGTATAATTAGAAAAGTGGCAGTAGGAGTGCAAGTGTCACTCCAATAAGCGATCCCGAATCTGCATGCTTTTGACGGTACAGTTTCAAAGGTCAGTTTATTGATCCGAACGTGGGTTTCTTATGTTACGACACGTCTTTTGGTAAATTTCTGCGATGCGCCTAGTATCTCAAAGTCCATTTTCAAAAATCGGCGAAGGATAGCATTAATGATCCTGCAACTGTTCTAACAGAAGAAAATATCAAAAGGTCTAAAGAAAACTGATAAATTCGCAGCAGATGAAGATGTGCCAGTGAAAAGGCAACGGCCAATTTAAAGGCCTGGCTCTAATTGCTTCATCTTGCGGAGTGGATACAGGCCAGGGTGCTACTGCTCAGGCCTTTCCGTCTTCTTATTCTCTTTTTTTACGTTTTTTATCCTTATCCTCCCGCCCCATCTTCACTTTTATATCCCCTCCTTTCAATCTTTGGCCGTATCCACATCGTGTGTCTTCCAGTTTCGACAACCACAATCGCTGAGTGGAAACCGCAGTTCATCCGCTTCTATTCTTGGCCCTCGATCATCTCTGTGACTGGTGTGCCTCAAGGTGCGCAATCACAGATCGATCAACAGGCAGAACTTGCCCTATCGATCGGTAGCTACTTTTTATCGGTGCATGACTCAAATCCCACTGCATTCTAGTGTTGCTTCCGCTTTTTGATCATTGGCGAGGTGGTTGGAACGCCTGACTCACAATCCACAGGTCATCGATTCGAATCTACGTATGTGTAAGAGACCCCTAATCATCCAAAGTCTCATACAACGACAAGGGATTACATGTTAACGAAGCCACAGTACGAGGTTCCGATGTACTGTTATTGGCTATCATCCGACCCTTTTATGCACGACGAGTTACTATGAGCTACCTACCCAGATGCCTCCGGGATCGGTCTGCTATTAGTCTAAAGCTTTTTCGAATGTGATTCTATTACAAAGCCACCGATATTTTTGCAGTTGCACCTCTCATCTCCCAACGCTTAACCTCATCATCTTTCATTCATAACCTGTTCATCTATTCTTCCTGGAGTGACTCTCCCGCTTTCATTTTCGCGGTGCCTCTTCATCATGCCTCATCGCTGAAGCAGTTCGAAGTCACAACTAAGTATGCAGGCACATCTGCATAGGAAATTGTTCAGGTACGGTCAGCTGGGAGAACAGGTGTGGCACAAATAATCGGAATGGAATGTTTTGTTCTAATGACAGTTCATTCTGATCAACCTAACCGAGCTGGGAGTCTGATGATTTCGACTACACTTCAGCTTAATGCCCTGTTTGTCACTACAACGGGTTATTGACGTAGGCAAGTTTCACATGTTTCACAAGGCTTTTCATATCATGTCGATTGTAATTCAACTTAGGGGCTCCTCTTCCGAAGTGAACCATTGTCACTCCACAACCAGCCACCCTCCAATTTGTGTTTGTCACAGTGGTGGAGATACCCAACCGTAAGTTAAGTATTAGAGGGTTATGACTTGTTCGCAATTGCATGTGATTTTTCTCGGTGTCCAAGACCATTGCTGACCGGGTGTTATTGATACTTGGCCTGCTAATCTGGCCACAGCTAACTTAGCAATAAACGCCTACATACTTTGAGTCCAAGCCACTCGTTGGCGCCCTTGTTTCGCATCCAGTCGACTTCACAGCATACAAGGAGGGCACAGTGAGGTAAGCACGGAGTACACTTGCGAATTCCTTGACCATGCCACCGAAGCCTATGCAGTGAAATTATACAACTCAACTGTCCAATTAGAAAATCCGCCAACCAAGTCACCGTTACCGAAGGAAACGGAGATCAAAACGTACAACTTCTAAGCACGCAGACCAGTCCTCGCAACCATAGAGAAGAGCAGCTCGCATCTTGGCGTTGTAGGCTGCCCTTCTTGGAGAGGCTGAAGTCATTTTTGTCCTGGAGATGGCGGAGGTTGATGAAAGCAACCCGAGGCTTAGAGGCGCACCAAGAGATCTCTTCCGCTAGGCCGCCAGCATTAAAGCGGGTGTCGAGATAAACGATCTTTTCGAATACTACCAAAGGATAACCTCAAAAAAGGGGAGTAGCAACATATCCTGACCAATACTGCAGAGTTACTTTATATTTCGATAAGTCGAAGATCAACCCGAACTGAAAAACAACCACTTCCAATTTACGCAACATACTTTGTGCGATCTTCGGTAGTCAAAAATTACGATGATTACGTTGGCATGTTCTGAATCGCAAATTCTGTCCACGGAAGCAGTTCTACCTCGCTGGGTTCGCAGCTGTCCAAAGCATTTCGGTATGTCATCCACAACGAAGTCGGATAGGAAAGGTGTTGCCAGACAATCTTGCCTTGCAGGAATTTTGATATTGAAGTGAGCGCAATTTCGCCATACATCTACACTGGACTCGAAGGCTTCGAAATGGGTTGCTTGGAGAGTGTTATCATACTTCTCAGTTCCCAACTCCAAAGAACAGGTTTCTCAACATAGTCAAACACGGTTTATGCGGCTAGGAAGACCATGATCTTTGGCCGATCGAATGTTTGACAGTGCACCATTTTTTCGGTGGTCATAAGAATGTGGTCAATACACCTTCGGTCTGGGCAAGACCCAGATTTCTCCTCACCTACTCGACTGAGACTTGGAAGCAGAACGGCAAACATTTGGGATGCAACGCGGATGGGATTAGTCTCTCGATGTTTGATGCAGTCTGTTCTGCAGCCTTATCTGTAACCGAGAACGACGTCCGCTAAGTTTCAGCAGGGTGGGCTAGCTTCCGTATTTGCTAGCATGTACGATGGGACTATCTGCCAAAATCGTACCCATTTGTTAACAAAATCGGCACCATGAACAAACAGAGTAGTCGGGATTCTGCAAGATGATTATCCTTTTGGCTATTGTATTGAATCTCTTTTGCTCGGTTGGTTTGCGTTGGAATTCATTGCGAACTGTCTAAGTTGTCTCTTTCACTCTTCTCTATGCAGCGTCTACCGGTCAACAATACGACAGCCCTGTTTATCCCTCCGTGTTTATTCCTTTGCTCGATTTGATCTTGTAAGCCACAAATCGCTGTCCAACGTTTGTGTTTTAGAGAATTTATCAATGTCAATTAAGCGCACCTTTTTGCTTGTGCTTTTATTTGGCCGAGATTACAACCTAATGAGCAGTTCGTGTCTCGATCGGAGCTTGCCTTGCATCGCTATATGTCCCGTAATTCTGATTAACAGTTGGCATCTTGTTTTACGCTTTATAATTATTTGAAATCAGTTTCGCGCATATCTAATGGCTACGTTGTCAGGTCGTCCAATCCCAGCCATTTGCTGTAGCACATTCCCTTGGTTCAGCTAGTTTAACACATTAAGTGCAGCCAAGTATAGAGTGCAAGGTGTTTATCCGTCATATTACCACGGACCACGTTTCCGCTGATGAATCCTTCTCCCTCCGCTTTGGAAACGTGTTTATTGTCATCACCATTTCAGTCGTGCGTGTAACGTACTCCCAATCCGATACGCTATTTCCAGAATATTATGTGCAAATGCCCTTTCCTTTCCTCCATACACCTCCACTGTTGCATTTTTCCATCTTTTTCACAACTGACAATCTAAGGATAGTACCAATCCGTTTCTTGAGTGCATTTATTTCGTCTTTAAGGTGATCAATTTGAAAAGCTGGAAGAGGCCGATGATCAAGGCTGGTGTAAGGGTCGGAAAGATGGTCGATGTGGACTGTATCCAGCTAACTACGTCGAACACGTGTAGCACATCCTCGATATGCTGCCTTGCTCATTCGCTTCCGTCCCTCCGAGGCTATGTGAACAACTCAGATCCCATCCAAACTCCCATCCCGTATTCCTGACTTGGCATTGAACCGACGCTCTTCTCCAATTGTGGATCAGTCGGCAGGATCGATGAACCTCAAGCATTGTCTGCGCAAATGCCTCTTCTCTTTCCATGTGTTCCGTTTTCCCACTCATCATGGCCTCGTTTATCCGCTACTTTTTTGATCATCTCTATCCGGCCAAGCCACACGCTGCATCCTTGTACTCATTGCTATGCTTGCATCCTTTGTCGCATGTGTTATCTGATACCTGTTTCTAGAATTTATAGAGGTCATGAGCCCGCTTTCATGTCTCAGTCAGATTTGGCTCCAAGCATAGCTTGTACAAATCAATATAGAGACCTAAACGTGTCCAACTTTAAACACGCTTCACGTCCGCCAACTTTCATGCCGCATTATTCACCCGCCACCCTACAACTGGGTTCTGCTTATCTTCCCATCTCTTTTATTCCCATACATGTAAAAATTAACGTCGGAGTTTTCTTTCTGTTTCGGCAATTGACTTCGATTAATTATCGCCTTGTGCTGCCCAACGACGCCGTACTTTTTCCATTCGGTTCACCTCCAATTCACTCCCCTAATTGCATCTTATGTTTTGTTTGTCACTATGCACCTTCTGATCACCGTCTACGAGTCCGTCCCACCTCTGCTATAGAATATCCTACAGTTTGGGCTAGTTACTGTTACCGTGGTGTCCTCCACGTCTACCACATGTGATTCTTTTTTGTCTCTTCCGTCTGTCTCAACTCCTCAGCACTAGTACGGCTTACTCCCGTGGGTAATTCACTTTCGTGTCCACCTCCGCATAGAGTCCCTGCCGCCTCTTGATTTGAACTGTTAGCCCCCACGCATCATCCAACACTTGTTCGCTACCTGAATTAGATCATTTCCTCCGCCCTATCCCTGTTTGTTACTTTTTTTACCCAATACAGTGGTGCGTTTTTACGGTTGTCGGTGATCCACAGGTTCCGACATCATTCTGAGGTAACAGTACCGGGTCCTCAGTGTCGCTTCATTCCAGTTGAACAACCAGAATCCGGGCACAGAGGGACGGTGGATTCAGTTGCACGATGCGCGTCGCCAGGACAACAGTAGTGATAAAAGTAAAGCGCTGCATGAGTCCAAAGAAGATGGAGTTAATGGACGTAGAACTTACTGGGGCGGAATAGTAACAAACATGCAAGCAACCGAATGCGGATGTCCCAATTATTCATTCCTAGTGTGCAGTTAACTAAAGGAAGAAGCATTGTGTAGGCTTCTAACTGTCCTGCGCTTGCCCACGCTTTTTACAGACTATGTCGTGGTGACACTGGATCTCAGCTTGATCCACTGTTTTCCAAGCATGTTGTGGTTCCCGGTGATCGTATGGATAACCTGCTGCTACTGCGCAATATGGACCGAGTGACTTCCCAGATCGGAAGACAAAGGGCTCTGGCCAAAGCTGTCTAGTACATCCGGCGAGCAGTATCTACACGCAAATAACGGATCAAATAAACAGTTCATAGGAGGATGACCTAGCTAGAAGTTCCTGGATTTTAACAACTACTAGTTACCTGATAATGCACTTGTTGGTTGCCGAAATAGTGCGCTCACTGGCGTGCTTCAACATAGATCATCCTCTTTGGTAGACTGCAAAATGAAACATTCTCATTGGTTGCTCGATAAGCTTCAGAATTCGTCAAAGTCAATAAGGCTAGACCTTACCGTTGTGCGATAGTTTGCATGCCTCGGAGATACATTCAAATATGTTGGAGGGTGCTTTTGCACCTTCAGAGCCACTCATACCTGATTGATCAATGCTTAGAGGCCAGACAAACTCAGCCTCCTTGTCTTCCAAATTAGGGGTAGAAGTATGGGGCTCCTTATTCCTAAAATTAACTTCTTGTAGCCCACCGACCGCTGTATTACGGTCAGGTTTTTGAAACAAAGACTAGTTGAGAACCCTAGTCGTTCTCCTGTCTATGTCTGGGCAACCTGACAGTATCCTGCCCACGCAATACTACGAACCTCTCCTTAAACAATTTGTTGCTCTAACCGTCGCAGGGGATAGTAAACGGCGCCCTATCTGCTGCATCGATTAAGGTAGATAGAAGTTTGGATGCTGTTGCTCAAGCCTTCCCCACTTTTCTCTCCTCCCTCTTAAGCTCTTTCATCCCTATCGTCCCGTTCCTACTTCGTTTTTGTCCCCGTCGTTTTCAACCCCTAATTCTTGCCCCTCCTCCACCTTGCTTTGATGGGCGTTTAGATTCTTCAGGGTGTTTTATTAATCATGTCCGGAGCTACGAGCGGCTGAACTCAGATGCTGGCTTACCACGGGAAACTGAATTGCTAACTGTCCACTGGTGCAAATTGCTTTGCCTGCATGAGTGAAATGGGGCACAGAGGCGCGACATGTGTGTCTACGATCACAAGGCTCACCGAGCCGTTCGGCTGTGAGAAGTGAACATTAGGAAACACCGCAGCCACCATCGACCTGTTATGTGTGGATGGCAGAGGAAGACCGAGGGAACCCACGCCGTTCGGCTGTGAGAACTGAACATAAAACTTCTCCCGCAGTGTGATGGCGGTGGATTCAGGGACATTTGAGCATACAACAGTCCCGGGCACTGTTGTTGAATCCCTTTTTCGTTGATCTCCTAAGTATGGTACTCTTTTGTGCTGACCTGCTCACAAGTGTTGATTGTTTGCTGTTTGTCCCTCTATTCGCGTTAACGGTGTTTACAATGGAAGAGTCCGCAACGGCGGCCTCTCGGTGAACCTTTGCAGCCATCTCTGCATAGGTAACTGATGTTCTGGGAGGCTTAGTCTCGACAAGAGATATTTGAGCTACAGGGACCGAGGGTTGATGTTCGACTGCTTCGTCCTTGTTAATGCTAGATGTCAGGTTTAGTGAAATTTGCTTAACCAGACGTTTTGAGTGGTGCCTGATTTTCGTTGCCGTGAGTGCTGTTTGACACTCGTAGGTACCGTCTGTTTTCGGCCGGCGTTCTACCAAAATTGGAGAAGACAACGGAGATGGAGACGTGGCTGATTGCGGTTCAGAGGAAGCGGATTGTTGCTTATTCCGTTGCTTAGAAGCCGCTACGCTTCTGTGGTGCATACTCGCTTCCATTGAAGTGATCTTATCGTTTATCCTCTGCTCTACTTCTGCGGTTAACCGGTCGCATTTTTGAGCTATGATAAGCAAGCACTTAACGAGGGGATGGTGGAACACGCAGTACAGAACCAAAGTGCATCTTGGGAGCTATTTCGCTCCTGTACCTGTTGCTGGGACACATTTGTACATTTCGTATGATACCATTCCAAACAGTGCGAGCAAGCCAGACCGATTTTTAGGGCTCGATGACATTCTCCTAACCCGCAAATGCCTTTCGCTTGGAGCCTCTTCGGTTTCGCATTTCTGCCATTTAATGTGGTGTCGTTAGCTGACGCAGTGGGTTGCTTCGTGTTCTGTAATTTTGCAGTTTTTAGGGCAGCGCACATCGGTCAGACGAGCGTGGTGGTTGTAAAGTCAAATGAGCGGTCGGCATGGTCGCGCGGTCCGTGTGGTGGGTTTTATGCAGGCGCACTGGCTGACAAGGTCACAAGGAATGGCGAGTGACTGGAACCTGCTAACTGAATCTGAACACAGCGCTGAACACAGATTGAGAGATCACAAATTCTTTCACAGCTGTGTTGAAAAACACTAGGTCGGAATAAACTTTGTCTTTTCGGTCAGCCTCGAGAATTCTATATCGAATGGTGTCACACAGAAAGACAATCGGCTCAATGTGATTGAGTTAAACGCTTGTGCTTACTCACGGATGCCAGTGAAGACGGTTAGTGATGGGGCAGACTCTAGTCGTAAAAGATATTTCCACGTATGATGGATTACTGTGTAGGGCTGGTAAATCCGGTTCGAATGAGCGTACAGTGACAACGCTGCGAGAAGATGGAGAGAGGATAGAGGGGAATAATCCAAATGAACCGGGAACACGCACATCACGCGTGTGTGGGGATGACCTTGGATACGGTCAAGTACCCGGTGCAGCTTATTGAAGAGGTCATCCGTGAGTAATAATGACATCCAAATATGCAGCATCACCGTTTAACTCTGTCACCATTGTATCTATGATTTGCTGCAAAATTGCTGGGGCGTGTTTTACTCCGAATGGAAGTTGATGATACTGGTACAACCTCTGATGCGTATTTATTGTCAGTAATACCCTTGAGGCTTAATTAACTTCTACCCGCAGGTACGCACCCGATAGCTTTGCAAAACTCCGACCCTCATTGATTTTCCAACTGGAATTGGTCGATGATACTGTACTGTCGAGAAGTTGGCATGTACTCGAATCTGACCATTCGGCTTCTTGACAATTACAATGGTAGCCGCCCAAGATCAGTTCACTGTATGTATAACCCCGGTTTTCTCCAAACGATTTGGTTCCTGTTCACTAATTAGAACTGCACGAGAAACTGGAACGACATGGTGTTTTAAAGACAATGAGGCTTGTATCCTCGCGCACTTATCTAGTCCTTCACGGAAACGGTCGCGTATTTCTCCCGAATGTTTTCAGTGGCTAATGTCTTCTGCTTGCACAGATCTGGTTGATGGGAACATCTAGGAGGTTGAAGTGTTCGATCCCATCTAACATAAGAAGGTTCAAGTTTCTGTGATTGTTGACGAAACTGATTCCCCAAGCGGTACAATCGGCAAAACGCCACTCACTCAATCCGGTCGATCAACTTCAACTTGGTGCCTAATGCGCTTTTCGGCTGGTCTGTTTAATGTCGATTGCACCAGCAGATCTCTATAAGATTTTTTGGTTACTGTGTTGTCGGAAGCAGTGTCATTTCGTAAGCGCCCCAACATGCCGTTGATGCTGCTAGTGAGAAACTTTCTCTTATCTAACATCTTCTGTGAAGTTGGCGTTCACCT